CCACAAAATGTTACGATCACCAAGAATACTTTCCTCTCTCCGTGTTCGATATTCGTCATGAGTGACAAGGTTAAAAGTTCCAAAACAAAATGTGGAGTTATTCTTTTAGTGTCTCATTTATTTGAGCTTGCAAATCAGGAGCTAGGCTAGTTGCCCATTCTTCCTACATGATCAGGGAGGTTATTGTGCAGTATATAACAAATGAGTGTTTTTATGGGTCTTGCTTATATCCAACACCACCTTCCCCGAGCCCATTTTCAATTCACCAACCCTACCTTCCTACACCCAAACCCCCTTATCTCATCAACCATTCCAGTTACAAATCTAAGCTCCTCCTTCTGACATCAACCCATCTTCGTCGTCGTCGTTGAAGGAAACTACCCCTCCAAGTCTTGCAGGTGTGGTGGCACCACCACCTATTAATACATTTACACCAAGGTTGGCATAAGTGGCACAAGATCCTATGCATGTTACTTCGATAACAAACGACGTTGTTAACGACTGGTCCACCATGTTTGAAGGCTCACCAATGTTGGAATCGAACTAGACTACCTAATTGTTGCCTTGTTCTCCTCCACTTGTGACATCCACAACAATGTGCATGTCGCATTCTCTTTTGTTGTCACAATTCCCGTGTATAGTGCGCGGACCAACAACTTAATCCCATCGACAAAGGCCATGACCTCCTTGTTCTTGTCGCAGAGCTAAAGATTTAAAACCGCGATGAACTCTATACGAGAGAGAATGCTTGAGAACCCTAAACGAGAGATGATGCTTTAAGATAACCTTTGTGTTCAGTAATAAAAAAAATAAGAAACTACTTTTTGTACTGGTTATAATTTATAGAAAATGTTTTTTCTTTATCACAAAAAGGCCACCACACCCACTTTCTATACCGATTATAACTATAATCGGTATAAAAAATGTTATCTTATTTACAGTTTCGTTATTGCGTCACTTTTTATACTGTTTAGATTATAACTAGTATAAAAAAGTCTCTATAAAAAATATTTTTACACTAGTGTAAATACCAAAGGGCTGCAAAATTGTCAAATCATTCAAGAAATATTCATAGATATAATACTTTGTGACTATAGGGTTAAGTCAATTTGTTGAGTGAGATTAGGTGGCGTGTTAACCATTGTAATATCGTTCACATTATGAAATATACACTTTGAGCTTTAGTACACTCTCCTACATGAGAAACTATTATAGTTATTGTAATTGAAAGTTCTTGATCTCAAGGAAAGATTGAGAAGGATGCCTAGAGAGGTTTATACTTGTAACATGGAGAGAATGATATTCATTGTTACCTAGAGATGATTAGTTAAGGGATTTGATTAGTCAAGGTTGGTTAAGTGACTAGACGTAGCCTTAGTATGGTGAACCAATATAAATTATTAGGTGCATTTTTCTCCATGTTACTCTTTAGTTTGCCTATATTATGTCTGTGCAAAACAATTATAAAATGTCTACAAACTCTATTTATCTCTCACTTCTAGAGCTACCTTGCACCAACATCCTATTAACCACAATGACAATGATTTTAACTCTTCAATAAAAAAGTTTGAATCATATTATTAAAGATCTTAAATCACTCAAATTGTTGAGAAAACAAGAGACTCTATAGAAAAAAAAAGAAGAAAAAAAGAGTTGAAAGAGAAACCTAACTTGTTATTCAAGAAGAGGAACTTAGGTTAATGAAACAAAAATGAGAAGTTCAAAATAAGATAAAAATAAGCAAAAGTCAAAGACATTCTAGTTGAGGCTTGAAATATGGGGAATCACAATATTAGGAGAACAACATGAGACTTAATGAGTACTATCAACATCTTTCACGTAGGAATAGAAGAGAACACACACCTAGGGAGGCTAAGGTAGATCTTCCATATTTATATGGTAAATGAAGGTGGAATAACTTTTTTCTTACCACCAAGTCAATGAGGAGAGAAAGGTGCCTCTGGCTACCATTAGCTTCTAGATATAAGCCTTGTACTGGTGGACTTCCATGGTGAGAGACAAGCATCTCCATAGGGAGGAGACACATGCCCTCTTACTATAATGGGGAAAAGATGGACAAACTCTAAAAGCTCCAACAAAAACACACAAGTGTAGAAGAATATAGGTAGAAGATGGTGTTTCACATGATGAGGTTTGAGATAAGGGAAGAAGAAGATACCACCATAGCTAGGTTCATGGGTGGTTTGAACCTTGAGATAAGAGATAAAGTTAAGCTTTTACCTTACAAAGATTTAAATGATATGGTATAACTTTGTATCAAGGTAAAACAACACAATTTGAGAGTACTTTTTTTTAAAGAAAGACTATGCTCACTCTAGTTATTATCCCAACAAGTAAGAGCTAAGGGAGGAAATTAGCTTTCAGGAGAAACTAAGGATAAATCCTCCCCAAAATCTTGAGAAAATTAAAGGAAAAAAATACATAGAAAAGAAATTTCTTCCTACACTCGTACTAGTAAGATCACATGTTTCAAGTGTTTAGGTGGATACCACAACTCTTTTAAGTACCCCAACAAATGAATCATAACCTTAAGGGGAAGATTTGTATAGCATCCAAGATGTGAGCAACTCATTTTCTTCAACCTTTGAAGAAGAAGAAAAGCCAACTTGAAAGGATCTTCATGTTGAAGTTGTTTATCCTTGCACTTCTTGTTAGGAAGATCACTCCTTATCATCCTAGTACATCCCAAAGAAAAAACATTTTTCAAACCAAATATCAAATTTCTAAGATGTCATGTTCTCTCACTGTGGATAGTAAATCATGCTACAATTATCATAGTACTAGGTTGGTGTAAATGTTAAATTTCTCACAATTTTTCCATCCAAAACATTATAAACTTCATTAGATTAATAGGGATGAGTATATGCTTGAGAATCATCTAGTGAAAATGAAGATTTCTATAAATTATTATGATAAAAATATTACCTATGAAAGCTTGTCATATTTTATTAAGATGGGTTGATGAAAACATTATTCATGATGGTCATACTAATAAAATCACTTTCACTTGTTTTATGGGATAAAAACACTACTCATGATAATAACCAATTCTCATTACCATATTATGTATTTCTAAGTTAAATATGTTTATTTACTTAAATATATTAATTGGATGCATTTTAAGTGTTAAAAATAATCTAAAATTAAGTAATTTAAATACTTATCACACTTCCAAAAGAAAAGGGATGATGAAACCATCTAGTCATGCTAGCACAAAATAAATACACAAAAAAGTTTAACCTCTATTGGATTTCCAGCCATTCTTATTGGATTCAAGATCAACTCAAAAAAAGTCCACTATATTGGGTAATAAAATGTACAAAGTAAGACATTTCAATATTTCAAAATCAAGCACCCATATATTATTAATAGTATTTTATTATAAATACGTCATGATTAAATCATTTAATAATAATAAAATTTAAAAATTTTAAATGCTTGTCATAAAAAATATTGAAATAGCATTGAAATAAATAAATTAATAAATAATATAAACAATACTTTCATATATTCAAAATAAAAAATGTTAAAAAATTCAACAAAAAATCGATTACATGAAATATTAATCATTAAAATTCTATAATATTATTTATTTTTACTAATAATTAATTCTTGAAAAAATATTTTATTCAATCTCATTAATATTTAAGTGATCAAATTTTATTTAACCCTTTTTACAATGAATTTAAATTTCATAAAATTTATAGCACGTTTTTATAATTTTATTTAAAGTTCATATAATTTCAAAAATTAATATTTTCGAAAGTTTAGTACAACATATGAGTGTAATTATAATTCATTTATTTTGTAGAAAAGAAAATTTACATAGAGAGACAAAATAAGAGTTTATAATAAACTCTTATTTTGTTTTAACTGAACTATACACTAATTTAATTAGTTTTCAGTTAAAACAAGTTTAATTATTTTTAGTAAAATATAATATTGATAACTGTACTCAGTTTATTAAATTGTGCCAGGCCTAATAATAAATACAAAGTACAATGCCATTAAAGTTGTAACAGTGTTCTACGGCTAAATTTTTAGATTCTAATATATAAATGGTAGAATTTTAAAAATCTAAGGCTAGGTTTTTAATTTCTATGCAGAAAAATTTTTGTTGACAAAGATGAAATCCACTTTCATGATTTTTAAGTTAAGAAAAAAAATTAGCTAAAAACATGTTAAAAAAAATTAAGTCTTTATTATTAATCCAAAATATTCCTAATCGAGATCGAATGCTTAAGTAGTTTATTTCTTATCATTTATCCGTAAATTTCTTACATTAAATTACATAAATAGTTTACTATCAGTCATTAAAAAATACATATTTTATACTTACATGTAAAATTTATTAATTAAAAGACTTAATTCTGTTAAATCTATCCATGCATTTTTTATTTATTATCTTTAAATTTTTATCACTTTTCATATTTTCTTATATTTTATCACAAATTCAAAAAATAACACATGATTTCATAAAATTATATGATTTTTTCATTTAAATAAAGAATTTTTCTATAAAAATTTTATCTAAGCATGTTTTATTCAATTATGACAGAGAAGAACTCGACTCAATTTTTTAAAAAAACAAAAAAATCAGAAATAAATTAAGATGATACCAATCAACTTTTATTATTGTGTTTTTAAAAAAAAAATCTTACCATTATTTAAGTAAATGGAGTTTTATCTATTTTTCCATTTTATAATAATTATTTAAAAATATCATTTAAGATAAATATGATAGAAGTCAATTTTTACAGGTAAATGTTTACTGAGAATAAATAACACCCTAAGTCATTCTAGAGAATAAATAACACCCTAAGTCATTCTAGATACATCTTGCCAAACAACACCTTTGAAGAAAAAGGCGTGTTTAAATAAGAAAATAAAAGAAAGTTGAAAAAAATCTGGAAATTTGAACTGTAAAGTCAGAGTTACCAAAGTAAAACTCAGTAACAATTATTATAGTTATATAAATTTATATATTTATCGGTTACAAATTACAATTGCAGAAGAAATGAAAACTTTGAATCGAAAACAGAGTCCTTGTCTCTGATCACTGTGATTGAGCAGTGATCGAGTTGCGAACTGCGATTATTCGCATCACCACCGGTTCGCGAGCGTTGGTCGGAGATGGATACGTTACCGACGACGAAGCGCGGCGGCGGAGGGAGATCGAAGCCCGTTCCGACCTCCAAATCCTCCCTCGTCATGGCCTTCTTCTCTTGCGTAGCCTGGCTTTACGTCGCTGGCAGGTACGTACGCTCTCAAGCGGTTCATTCTTTTTTTCAAATCGGTTCTCCGAATCGCTTTTGGATCCATCGAATTAATCTTGTTGCTTAGTTACGCATTGATTTGTGATTCGCAACACGATTATGCTCTTCGGTTTGAACGTAACGGTTTTGCTCTATGTTTTTGTTTTTTTTTATTGTTTTTATAAGCTAAAGATTTTACTGATATGGATTAAATAAGCACAGCTGTGAGTGATAGTTGTTTTTGGAATTGTTAGGTTATGGCAAGACGCAGAGAACCGAAATTTACTTTCCGGACTTTTAAAGAAGAATTCAGCTCAGGTTCATTTTTTCTTGAATTTTCTCTGATGTTATTATTGTTTTATATTATAATAATTCATTTCTAGTCTACAAACTTATTTTATTGTCTCGTTTTTTCTTTTTTTGTGGTTACTAGAGGCCTAAGTTTCTTACAGTAGAAGATAAATTAATGGTGCTAGGATGCAGGTAAGTTGTTCTTCCGTTTTTTTTTTTTAAATTTTAGCTTTGTTCTTTCAATGATGTGTTGTTTGGGTGCTATTGGTGTGGATGGATCATGGAACTGGAATTAGTGTGTTTGTGTTGCTTTACAGGGATCTGGAGAGGAGGATTGTGGAAGCTGAGATGGAATTGACATTTGCTAAGAGCCAAGGGTATCTCAAGGGGCAGGGCCAGAAAAGCGCCTCTTCTGATCGTAGGCTTCTTGCTGTTATTGGTGTGTATACTGGATTTGGAAGTCGGTTGAAGAGAAATGTCTTCAGGGGGTCTTGGATGCCCAGAGGTCTGTTTTTTCTTTTGGTCATAGAAAATTCTCTAATACGCGCTTGAGTCGTTTCAAGAATTTTTTTTTTTATATGAAGGAAGTGTAAGATAATGCTAAGTTAGGAGATGGGAGAGGGATTTGGTGCCAGTTGACATAAGGCTATATGCTCTTTTGCTTTGTCTTCACTGGGATCAAGTTCATTGGTTGTGATGCAAACTGAGTTTGGTGGTTTGTTTTTGTAAAAGATAGTGATCTTGATATTTTGTTTTTGAAGCACTTTTTTTTTTCTTTTGAATTTGACAGTGATTTTGACACGCCCAGTTTGGATTTGGGTTTGATTTGGACATTGTTTTCTTTTATTCTATTTTATTTAGCTAGTTTGTTCTTTCAAAGTTTTTTTGAAGATTGGTTTCGATCTATACATTGATGGTTTATTGCTATTTTCATGATTTTAGAATTTCTAGTTTTCTACCTTTGAGCTCCAAGGATTAATTTTATTATTTTGTGTAGAAAAATGTTAAAACTATGGTTCATCATGTACTTAGTGTTAAAAGCCTTGATAATTTTTTGTTCATATTTAGGGTACATCTGTTGTGTTTGAAAGTTTTAACCATTAACATTTTCATAATCTTTTTGGTTTGGTAGGTTACATAACAAATTTGATATATTGCATACATTTTGAGTTACGAGAATGTAAACAGTTGATTATTTTGAAGATGATTGGTTACCTTCTGGTTCAATTCAATATTACTTAGTCAATTAACATCTTATCTTCACTTTTCTGACAGGTGATGCCTTGAAAAAACTTGAAGAAAGAGGAGTGGTCATTCGATTTGTTATTGGTCGGAGGTTTCTCCACTTACTTATCCTTTGTACACATGATTTCTTTTTAAGCTACAATTGTTTTTTATCTTCTTTATTTCCCTAATCTAGTACTCCATGATAAAATTATTCAGGGTTCCATATGAGTTAATACTTTTTAATTGACAGTGCTAATCGTGGTGATAGCTTAGATCGAAATATTGATGCGGAAAATCGCTCGACAAAGGATTTCCTGATTCTAGTAAGCAAGATAGTTGTTTTATTGTAATTTGAATAAGTTTAATATTTTACCTTGGATAATGTCAGTGAACAGGAAGTACTTAATTATCTTAAATTTGATTGATTATAAATACCTTATGGTTATGATTTTATGGGTGCACCTGGAAGAGTTCATAGAGTGCTTATTTGAGAAGTAGTTTGTAAACTTTCTTTAACTTTTTTTGCTTAGCTTATTTCAGTATATAAGGCTCTAATCTGGTATGCTTGTTAAATATGCATTTAATTAAGCTATTTATCCAAATTAGACCATTTTGCTTCTCTATTCTTTTTATTTAAAATATATTGATATAATATCAATGCTCATTTGAATATGCTTCCTTTTAATTGAACCTTGATAAACAAGCCAAGTGTATATCTTGACCATTTGTTTTTATTACATCAGGAAGGTCATGAGGAAGCTCAAGAAGAGTTGCCTAAGAAAGTAAAAACTTTCTTTAGCACTGCAGTTCAGAACTGGGATGCTGATTTTTATGTGAAAGTTGATGACAGCATTGATATTGATCTGGGTAATGATTGCATATCTATATTCTTATTTAGGAGATTTTTTGGAAAACCTACGTTTTCCTAGATGTGAAACTGAGACATTCTTAACTCTGTTCACTGGCCTAGCAGAGGGTTTAATTGAACTTCTTGATCATCGCCGTGGCCAGGATGGGGCATATATTGGATGCATGAAATCAGGAGAAGTGATATCAGAAGAGTAATTTCTTTATCTGAGTTTGTTGTGATAATATATCTGTCTATGATAATTGATTTATGGATATATTGGGCTGTTTTATGTAGTATATGTTAGGTTTCTAATCAAGAAACCTAAAGAAAACCTCACTAACACACGCACAGGGCTCACACTGAACACTGAATAACCTCCACACGTATTATTAACAGCAAGAAAGTCAGATACAGTGCAGCTATGGGAGCCTAACCTCCCCCACAGGAATAAGGAATCCTGTACAAAGAATACAAGTAGTCAAAAAGTGTCTTTCAGCAGATAACTACTACCTATATATACAAGTCTAACCCGTGCCCTTTCTAACTGTTAAGACAGTTAGAGTAACTAACTCTACTAACTCTTCCTTCTCCTCTCATAGACTCTTAGTCTCCTATCAGTATAGATGGTTCAAATCATGCTAAAAGCTGTTTGACACTGCCCATGTTTTTTAATAGAACTTTTTAAAGCTTCTTCCTTATTATCTATCTTGTGTTTACTACTGTAGAAGTGTGTTTATCTGCAAGTTAGAGTTAGCCATCAGATGTGGATGCCTTTTTTCGTTTATGTTAATTTCTGATAGCTCAGTTGGCTTTGAATTTTTTATCTATCTAATTTGCCTACTCGCAAATAATATTTGTTGCCTTTTATTTTCTTGTGCATCCAAATTGAATATTATATTTTTAAATAAATTGTCACATGTTGAATCTTGTGGTTGAGTTTTTGTATTCAACTAACAGGCATCTTATTTTGCGCATTTTTCAGTGGAAAGCCGTGGTATGAACCTGATTGGTGGAAATTTGGTGATGAAAAATCGTGAGTAATATGTACCTTTTTTTTTATACTGGAATTATCTTCAATTTCGTTTTCTTTAAAATTGAAACCATTTTATTATTTTTTTTTCTCGTTGTATCCTTGAATGAGCAAGTGAGTGATATTCACAATATACAACAGTATAACATCAATGCTCGCAAGCATTGGGGGAACAATTATTTGACTTAGGCCTATTAAACATGTTTTTATATCTGCCAAATGTTGGATTGTTGAAACAGATGACTTGTGATGATTAATTAGATAAACTATTTCAAAACACATATTGATATTTCAAAACACATATTGATAAATAATGGAAACTGTGATCTGCAATTGATGATTGCCGGTGTATATATTATTAGCATTGATTTGTGGAATTGTGTGGTCTTTGCTTTACTTGTTTCTTACAAACATGCCATTAGTAGTGATGTGACAAACTGGATGTAAGCCATCTAGAATCTAATGGATTGTTATCAATTCTTGTTAATCTTTTTTACATTCACTCCAATTCAAATGGATGGGATAGAATAGTTTATTTTTAATTTTTTCTGTTTTACATTATTTTCTTTTACCTTCTTTATCACTGTATCCAACATTGCTCAGTAAAACTAGGTCTCATGCAAAAGCAATGATAAATTATAGTCTTTATATCTCAGTAGTGTACTGATATAACTTTTCAGTAGTTTTGATCACCATATTGAACTGTTTTAATTTTGCTAGTATGAAATGAATCAGAATTTAGTTATTTTTTCTTCAGGTATTTCCGACATGCAGCTGGTTCACTTGTTATAATTTCAAAGAATTTGGCACAATACATTAATATAAACAGGTTAGTTCTCAATATCGTGTGTATGCACTAGGAACCTTAGAAACTGAAGTAGGATTCTTTTATTCTGGTATGGGTTCCTTCATTCAGCATTTAGGCTGGCAAAGCACGCTTCTGAACCCTAAAAGAGGAGGCTCTGGATGTTAATTGATTGTACTACACAGAAGCATGTTCCTTGTCTGGCATTATAGCTAAAAAAGCTACCTAATTTTCTTTTTATATTTATGTGCTCATAACTAGACACTAAAAAGTTCTATTGGCAAAGATGTACTATATATACTTATTTTTTGACTTCCGATTTTTCTGGCCGAATCAAAATATCAAATCTAGTTAATTACTTTTAATATTTTCCATGTTTTAACTGCTCTATTTTTAAAACTCTGCAATAGGTGTTCTCTGATTAAAACCATTGAAGGTTAATAATTCCATCTCTATACCTTTCCATCTATTAGCACATGAGTAAATATTCAATATAATCCCTGAAAAGATTGAGGCGGTGACTTATAGGTACTTTAATAATTTTCTGGTAAATGGGTCTTTGAATAATATTTTCGTTGACACTTAGTCCCTCTTTTTAGGGATCACCATTAATACTACTCGTTAAAGGGATGAATAATGTAGTAAGGAAGAAAGGTTTTCTCACTCCTAAGTGCCAACACTTAATTTAGTTGAGTCATAAAATGAAGGTTTTTGTAGTTATTTGAAATTAGAAAGTTGATTTAAAATTTAGTACCAGCTTCCAAATCTCCACTTCTGCCCAATCAACTTACCCTCCTGCAACTCCAAATTAGTTCCAGTCGCTGATCCATCGAAAATGCTAAACTCACCACCTTTACTAATCCTCTCATTATTATATGAGGAATCCTTCCACCTATTCTCATCCATCAATATCTCAAACAAATCCTTCGTCCTACAATTAAACCTTTCTATCATGCTAATACTTTTCACTCTCTTCTCCTTATTTGACTTCCGTTATAATTTTATAAAGGATTTTTACTGTCTCCAATATTTTCTGATATCGGTAACACTGGAGTCTGAAATAATTCTGTTGGCAAAGACTTGTTAGAAATACTTATTTTTTGAATTCCAATTTTTCTGGCTGAATCCTAATACCAAATCTAGTTAAATATTTTTATCTTTATGTTTTAACTGGTCTATTTTCAAAACTCTTGATAGATGTCCCTTCATTATGACCACAGAAAGTTAATCCAGATAATCCAGCTCCGTACCTTTCCATCTATCACCAAATATGAAGTTACTTCATATCTTCTGGGTACAGTAAAAATGAGGGCAGTTGAAACTTGACAGTTGAGTGCTAGTCTTTCCACCTTGCAAAGTTTGGCATAAAATTAAGTTGCAAGCTATTTTTTATGCTATACCCAATAATACTGTAGATCTGTAACTTTTCCATCCCATACCTTTTTCTGGTTTTTAGACTCAAACAAGCGCATCCTAAGACCTAGGTTGGGGGGGTGAGACTCACTGCGAAAAAAATGTCTCCTTTTGTATCTATGATGTTCTTTAGAAGATCGATATGTTTGTGCAATTTTTGTAGCTTTCTTTCTGGGTTTTTCATATACATGGTTTTTCCTCGAGGACGCTTACTATACATTTGTTTTCATTTTAATTTCAGCTACTATGTTTTCAGTAATAATACACAAGGGGCACCTGGTTGTTACTTTTCACTTCATTTCCTTTTATTTATGAATCTGTATCTGTATATTAATAATTACACAAGGGCTACCTGGTTTTTTCTTTTCACTATATTTCCTATTTTTTATGAATTTGTATATGTATAGTGATAATTGCAAAATCTCGTTTTTACCACTATCAGTACAAATACTTGAAAACTAAAGACAGTAAAAATAAGGTGCTTTTGTAATTATTACAAAAGCAAAATAAACCAATTTTGCCCATCTGATAAATATTCTTCGCTCTATCCCAAAAAATTGTAGTGCGTCTTTGAAGACCTATGCCTTTGATGATACATCTTTGGGATCATGGATGATGGGAATCCAAGCAACTTACATTGATGACAGTCGACTTTGCTGCAGTAGTATCAGACAAGGTGAAATCCCAGTTCTTATGTTTTGTACTGGTTGTTTTCTTGCACTTAGCTGTGGGAAAGGTTGGAGAAGTGGGTTTGTTTCCTTCCATGTTTCTTAACTATGTTTTCTTTGAACTTAAATTGTTTGAAAATGAAAACATATTTGGACAAAATGAAATCTAGAAAGATTAGCAACACATTTCTCTTAACACGATCTACTATTGATTAAAATTTGTTAAAAACAACAAAATTATGAGAGAATTATTAAATAATACCTGAGATCCACAAATTTGTGATTTCGGAGAAATTTTAACCGGTAAGATAAGGTGTGTTCCGTGTTGCTAGCGTGCTCATTTAGAAAAAGAAAAATTGATGTATGATCAAACTTAAATAAAATAAATTTTTGTTTTTCACCAAGTCAAATTTACGTGTCCATTTTCAGACAAGGTATGCTCCTTGGCTTGATTGGCCCAATCACAAACACATCCCTTGTGTGGGAACTCATACAATTTATCTAAAGAAGATCAGTGGCAGTTGAAGATTATGTTCATTCTTTTAGATGTTAGCAGCGAACTTGAAAGCATAACTACAGATTAACAAAGTTCAGTCATTGGGTGCTGAATTGATAACTTCGGGAGTTCTTCTCTGTTATTGTTTATACAAAACAACTCTTGATGACCAAATATTGAAGAGAGAGACCTATATACGAAATATTGATGTATTGAACAGCCCACGAACAAATTGTAGACTTCGTTGCCTTGACATTTTTCTTCAACTCTTTATTATGCTTTTGCATTTGATATTATTTGTTAAGCTAGATTCTGTTCAGCAAAACGGTAAAATAAATAAAGAAATCTGAGCTAAGATTGATGATAGTCATGGAAGAATTACTTAGTTTTATAGTGAAAGTACTTATGTGATGAATTTGAGGTTGAAATAGTTTGTAAGTATAAAATATTTTCTACTATCAAAGGAGCAATGTTAGTAGAGACATGAAAATGCTATTAAGTTTAAGTTTTACATTAAATTGAATTTCATATAAGTTAAAAGATTTATAAAATCCATTAGATTTTTGGTGGAAGGTGGTGTTAATATTTTGTGTGATTAAATTTTATAGATATTGTATCTCTTTCATGAATCATTTCCTTGATAGATAAAATGATGAATATTGTTATGATATTTGTGAAATTATATTATCTTTTTCTGCTATCCACGGGGGAAGATACTAGAAACCTTTTCGGAGGTTAATAACTAACAATTAATCATTGGGGTTGCATTAGATATGGTTAAGTTGGGGTTAAGCATGTAGTTAAAAAAAATTAATTTAATGTTGAACTTTTGTAGATATGCAGAAAACTATAGAAATGAAACTACGGTTGGGTTTTCTATGGCTTCCATAAAACGGCAGAAAATTTCGGCGACCAAAATAGTAGAATTTTATTATACAACTGTAGTTCAGTGCCATTATTTTCGCATTTGGACATATCGGCGAAGGAAAGCTTTAGATATAATAAACGTTAAAATAGATCGCTAACTATTCGTCAGATACCGTCACTGATTTTCATCAAGAGTTTCTTTAAACTGCTTTGTGATCAGATAGTATATTTTATGGTTAGTTATCACTGCAATTTATTAAGAAATTTCTACAAAATTTTACTTCAATGATAAGAAACCTCAAATTCAAGAAACTTACTTTTTGTATATATATTTTTATTTCAATTAATTATAGATCAAATGAAAAAAGAACCAAATTTATACTATTAATTTTTTATAATAAGTTGAATGTGTAAAATTTGAGTTAACTTCAAAATGCAAAGAGTGTATTGTTTGATTGAAAGTGGACAGGTTAAGATGTAAGGGTTATTGTCTTTTTCTTGTTTTTTTTTTTTTTTTCATTTTTCACATATCCTTCTTTCTTGCTTTCTCTTTTTCCTTTTTATCATATCTCTAAACTTTTGAAGTAGTTTTTTATCCTTATTTTCAAACAAAATCATCTGGTTAGAAGTTGACTAATTATAATTCATATTCAATTGTCTAGAATTTGAATTAGAGTTTACACTAAATCTCCCTATTCCTTTGTATAACTGTTTAACTGGTTCTATCAGTTGAAAAATTTAATCTTTTAACTAGATCATTTTTCGAAAAGTTTTTTTTTTTATTAATTTGGTGGTGTTTTCTTAAGTTCTTATTCACTTTTGTAAGTTTATAGCTTCTTCTTTTGGCTAATGTTATTTGGGATTGTTTATTTGGTTGTTAATTGTAGTTTTTAGATGTTTGAACGGGATATTTGGTTTGATGGTAAATTGAGTAATAGTAATTGTAATAGGGAATTTGTGTGGCAAATGAGTGCAATGATTAATTCAAATTTGTTAGAGTGGATAAAATATTAGATTTGGTTTGAAAAGCTATTTTTTGTTTTTTGAGATCTAATAGTTAGCTTTACATAAAGATAATTTTAGTAAAGTTTAAGTAATTAACATAAATGTTAAGAGGGTAACTAAATTGATGTTTAAAGTAAGATTCTTAATTCAAGTTATGATTTGAAGATAGAGAGAGAAAGAGATCTAACATTAATTATCTTTCTTTTAAAACTCTTATTACTCAAGTAACACTTGATAACTCGAGTGATGGACTATAGTAAATAGATAATTCTATCATTTCAAATATTTTTTTTGTTCTTTAAATGATAAATGTTGTCTTTCAAAATTCAAGTAAGATAAGGTCCAAAGAATATTTCTCTTTAGAAAGCATGATCACATATTGAGAAGAAACATAATGATATGACATGTTAAAGTGATAGTGTGATAATTTGAGTGAAAAGATTTAGTTAAAGTTTGAACTGATGAAGGTTGTTCATACAAGTTAATATCCTCAACAATCTAAAAATAAAGTTCAATACAAATTCTATTCAATTCGTAGGTGGTTGAGTGGTATATGTGGAGGCATATGTGGTGTCTATATTAAATGACTATACTATGTTGGGTGAGATGAGTTAAATATCTATGATGGGATGTTGAACCAACTTATGGGTTATAGTATTAGTGAAGTACATAAACTCATTCTTAAAAAGATATATAATTTCTTTCACAATGTAAATAACATAAATTAAGACATTAGAAAAAAAAAACTAGAGAAAGTTTAGGACAACTATTACACTTATTTGTTTAATAAATTTACGTGACTTATGAAATTGAGGTTCGTACATAGGCCAAGAGTGATTAGAATGAGTCATATAATACTCTAACAAGAAATATCTAATACAAGTATTTCAAAAGAATTTTATTTGTTGGAGGAATGTATGGCATGTGGCCTTTCTATTCTTTCTCCTTTCTTGTTTATTTTTCACGTGCCTCTCTTTAAATTTTTCTTCTCTCTATCATTTTCTATAAATTTCTAAAGCAAATTTTTGTCCTTTTTTGTCCAAAGGAAGTAGCCCGATATAAGGTAGCCAAGTGTAGTTTTATTTAACCAATTAGAATTTGAATCAAAGTTATCTTTTCTTTTATTATGAAATCTCCATATTGTTACTACTTTGCTCTATTTATGAGTGTTTCAACGTTTCACCAATTCATTTGAGGAATTTATTCTCTCAAATGATTCATCTTTTGATAAGTTTTTTGGTTGATTTGGTGGTATTTCCTTAGGAGTTTTTTTTAGTGCTTCAAACTTTTTTCTTTCTTAGACATTGGAAAATAAGCAAATTTATAAGGTAAGGAAAATTATTTTAAATGTAAATAAATTTAACTATAAATATAAAAAGCTTATGTTAGAGCCTATGATTACTTGTGACGACTCCTATGATGGAGTGCAACTCTATTTCCTCAGTCACAAGCTTGAGCTAGTCATGGATATCATGATAATTTTGTGTTGGTGAATATATCTTATTTGGGTAAGACTATCACACTCCCATTATGCACAAGGGAATCTGGTTTTTTGACGGGTAAACCTTCTTTGGAAGATGACACTCCCATTGTGAATTATTTACAAGATTTACAATAATTAGATTCAACTTTAATTCATAATTCTTTTATATCTAGGGAGACTCGTTTGTTTAAAGGAATTAAAAATAACTTTCTAAATGAACTAGTATACTTTATGAGAGGAATATTCGAATACTAGAGAGATGAATGAATTGGGTTCAAACTATAGAAAACCTGATAGGGGTAGGCCTAAAAAAAATTAAACACTAAATCATTCATAGGAAAAAATCTCTCAAAAGTTTAAATACGTTTTAGAAGTAAGAGAATTAACCGATGATAACTTTTTTAATTATTTTGGAATTTGACTTTTTCATGGTAAATGGAATTCAAAGTATGAAATGATTTTCGTAAAGGAAATCATGAGTTTTTTTTAATATACAGAGCTAATCCTTGCAGGATATGTACAAATGTCAAGATTCTGAGTCAGACCTTATGACTCTCATCTACACTTGCATTTAGTACCTACCATTCCATAATATTATTAAGTAGTTGTTTTGGTTAAGAAACACTAAACAAAAACATAAAAACATAAACAAAAACTACCGACTGTTGGATGAGTTACCAACTTCCTTAAAAATTATACTTGCAACTGAAGGAACCCATGTTCCATTGCCTTGTTTTGCAGCATTTGAAGATCTCATTGTGGTGGTAGAAGTTGTTGTAGCAGAATTGGAATTCTGATAATGACTTTCAATTTCTTATGCTTGACCTTGTTGGTTCCTCCTCATTTCTTTCCAACAAGTATGCCAAATTTGAAAGGCATTGAATAGACCAACTGCCACCATAACGGTCTAAATTGCCAGTGATGATCTCTAAATGGCTTATACTTTTCTATGATCCCTGGACAAGTCCTGAACTCAACCACTTCAACCTCAGAGGGATCAGCCAAGTAGGTGTTTGATTCATTGCCAAAAGGAAGCATCCCTGGGAACTTCACAACCAAACCTCCATTCGGAAGAATCCATGAGATCCTGCCAGCAGCCCAGGCGCCGCCCCTTTTGCGACGCCACTCAAATCGAGGACACGAAACGGTGTCTTTGAGTCTCACAAACTGGCCAACACAGAAAGGTTCCACCTTTTCCACATCAGAAGAGGTTCCGTCCCAGAGAGCTTGCAGCCCAAGAAATCCAACAGATACACTACCGTCACGGTTGATGGCATGTAGAATGCCCACATGTGAGTGCTTCTCGTTTTCTTCCCTCAAACATACCCAATCACCAGCTACCAATCCAGACGTGACACGTTCAAGGGATGATACATGAATTCTGATAGGGTCTTCATTGCCATGGACCCTCACAAGGGCGAACCTGTGATCTGTGTTAGACTCTAAACTGACAACAGTTCCTTCTGGGATGTCCATGTTTTGAGGTCTGCATGAATTGGGAAGCTTTCTAGTTCGGACCATGTCACCCACCTGAAGATGATCCTTTGAAAGGAACCACTCTGTGTAGCCAGTGCTATCTGATTTTGGATTAACTTTCACATTTCCCAGATATCTCCATTCTACATCATGCCAATTCATTTCAGAGCACTGCCAAGGCACGTGCATACAATTGGATATTTCAGTGTTGAAAGTGTTGTGTCGTATGTAATTGATTCATGGAATTTAAAAAACAAATAGAACAAAGATTTTCATAAATATACATGAAAATGGTTACCCAGTTCTTGGCACTGAAAATGTATAAAAACTAACTACTGCACCATCATATCCCACACTATTTCTTTCTAGCACGAAACGAACTACTATCTGAGA